ATATTTATTACTTCCACTAAGTATATTAATACTAAATAATAATAAGTAAGTGATATACTCTGGTTTTTATAGAGAAGGATAAAAAAATGGTTCTGGATCACGTTATTGAAATAAGAAAATGATTTTGATATTATGTAACTATTTTAGTAATGAAGTGGAGGGGAATTTCATGAAGAAGGAGTCTAAGATGGATAATGGATGGAATTGAGATCAAAAGATGATTATAAATTTACTATCAGTCAATATTATATCATCATTAAAATTATTTGATCAAGGAAAATTGAAAATGGATTTGTATTTACATGTTTCAGATGATTCAATTAAAAATGGTTTGTTTATAATAAATTTTTTTTCACTTTTAGCCTAATAGTTCATTAAATGAAGATGGTGTATCAGATAGGATTCGAATCAGGATATTTATTGATGAATCAAAACCTGAGAAAATAGTATGGATAAGGAAGAACCATTAAATATTGGAATGTGGACATTTGTACAGCCCTGGCTTCATACTTTGTTTACAAAGATAAAAAGAAAGAATATACATATAAATGTAGATGCAAGAAAACCATCATGCACAGTAACAACAGGGAATAAGATAATTCACGATCAAGAAGAAATTCAATTAATCTCTAATTCGTTTTATTCTAAAAATTTTATATCGAAAGATTTCATTAATGGAATTCCTGTATTTGAAATAATATTATCAAATGAAAATTACTTTTATAAATGATCATTTATAATATTATGTAAATTATAAATTAATCCAAAACTTATTACATAAATGCGAGTTCGGCTCGCTTGAAATTTCAAAAGCCCCTTATTAATTAAAATAAATTGTTATATATCTTATTAATTCTCAATTCCAAGTTGCATCTTTCTGTTTTAATGAATTATTTTCATTCACCTGTAATTTATTACAACTCTACAACAATAATATAGTAATAATTTGTTACATTTAAATAAATATTTAATTATTTTTATTTTGCTATTTCAGACAACATATATGTTATGTTTTAACCATAAAATGTTCATAAATTCGATTAAAAGCAATCTTCTTCATATCTTCAATAATGTTTTATTATTTAAATAATTAAAAATTATTTCTTTTTAATTTGTTGCCAATTTCTGTAGAACAATGATCAAGCACATTTCTATTTTCTTCCTTATAACATTATCGTTAATCAAATATCCACTATATCCATCTTCTATTATTATTTAGATTCCTATGATTTCATGGCAACAATTAGCATTTTCAGATAACTTCTGTTGGTATTATCACTAAATGTTCATTTGTAGGATTATATAAATAATTACATCTGATCTTTTATATAAATATATTTTACCATAAATTCTTACAAATCTGGCATAAACCTGAAGCATACCGTAAATTTTAAGCTATTATTTGATCATAGAGATAAAATTTTCTTAATTTGCTCTCTTAAGTCAAATAATTAAAGATATATAATAAACTGCTTCTTGTTGATGGTTTGAAGTTTGATTTGAGAATAAATGCATTAATTTGCCACTGTTATCCTTCAAGATCGTACTTGTATAAGGTTTGCAACTTAATCGTAAATTTTTCCACATACAAATATTTATCAATATTTAACAAGAAGTTGCTTTTCGTCATATAGAACAAATCTAAATGTAATTCTTTCTTTATCTGAATTCATGAAATGCTAAAAAATTCTATAATACAAAATAATAGTCCTTATTTTTAATGTAAGTTATAGATGTGAAATTAATAAAAATGATTCCTAAATTCTTTAATCGATCTTTTTAGTTAAAGTATTTAGCAAATTAGCATATCTAAGCCTGATAATTTAATTTATCAATATACTCACTAAAATCAGAGGCTTGGCTGAAAAAAAGGTGTTTCAAAAGAACTTCAGAATTAAAATCATTTTTTTTTGTCAAGTTAGCCATAAATTCCTACCTCATTTACTACAATCATTTCAACTAACTAGAGATCAAAAATAGATACAGAATTATAAATAACAGAAAAATTGATGTTCTTCCTTTAAATCCACTGATAATATCAATATATATATTTCTATAATGAGAGGATACAATAATATATGTTCATTATTGTTGTTCATTTCAATATAAGAAGAGAAAGCTAGAGAAATCCTGAAAATATTCTTCAAGAATTCTCAAATAAGAAAGGAATTGAGGAAATCATACTTTTATGGCAAAATGTTAATCGTTATTTTATCATGATCAAAATATTTAAGTTAACACGAAAATTTTTACTAAAATTTCATAGATTTGATTAAAACTTTTAAATGAAAGAGCAATTTGATTTCAACATTGTCAATTGATGTAATTATTGAACTGAATCAGACTTTTAATAAACTGGATGTTGGAAGGTAGATTTTAAGAAACATGTTGTTTTAATTTAACAAGTGGATAGTAAGCAAATCAAATGTTTGGAAAAAACATATCCTTACAAAACTATAGTTTTATAAAATGCGAATGTTTTCTATTCGATTTGTGATTACGTAAATATTCAAATTTTTAGAAGTGGTTTAAAAATCCTAAAGAAAACTTTTAAAAATTTAAATGAAAAAATTGGGATATGTAATATTTTCGAAGTTTTGAGATTTAAATTTAAACTCTTGAGAATAAGGTTGGAAGAAAGTGAATAAAACAAAAACACTTGAATGCATCAGATGAGGAAAATTTTTATAAACAAGTTATGAATTATTATTAAAAATTGTCCATATTTATGCTTCACAATTTATTTGTTTGATTTTTAATTATTTGATTTTATGAAAGGACCTATCTGGTTTATAATCATAATCTAAATATCTGACATTATCAAAATTCATAAATACTGTTGAAACCTTTTATCCTAAACATGCATATCCGCTAAAAGTAATCAGAAACTCGAAATTCTAAATTCTTAATTTTAATTTACTTCTTTTTAGTTAATACCGAAAATGCAGTATAAACCATGAGCCTTATCTTAGAAGGTAATTTTAATATTAGATTCTTATTTTAAATAACACAACATAGTCTTACAATAAGTACTGAATGGAAATCAAAATTAATTGTTATAGTTTGAAATTTGTAATTATTTAAATTAATATCTCAATATTCTATGTTTAAAAATAACAAAATATTAATAATGTATAATTATTAGCTTTCACAGAATTTAAGCCTGCTCTTCTTTCAATATAGTATTTGCACTTCTTTTTAGGTCTATAAACTTAATAGTAACTTACATATGTATAATACATAATTTATTCACAATATACTAATATTCCATCATTATAGGAGGCTTGTAAAGTTTCATCCAAAATTAAATTAATATCAATCATACAGATTTTTTTAAAATGTATAAATCAAAAAAAAAAAGAAAATAATTTTTCTGTGATAACTAACTGAATTTTAAAAAATTTAACTGCTTTGTATTATTAGGAGAAATATGGAAGCCCAGATAATTAA